CCCCAAAACCCCAAAACCCCAAAACCCCCTTTCAGATTTAAAGTAAATTCAAAACATGTTTAATAAACTTAATAATTATGAAATTAACCATTTTAAATTTAAATTCATATTACTTTGTAATTAAGACTATTAATTACTTTGGACTATAATATCTTGCCTCATGCAATTTAGAAAGTTATTAAGCCAATCTACTGAAGAGATTTCAATACAATCTTAAGCTACTTAACTCATTTTTAGTTATGTTTTATGCAAGTCTTGTATCTACATTAAGCGCTTTTTATTCTTATAATTTGGTCCTATTCGTGTTCTATGAATTTGTATTATTGACTTTTGATGACATAGATTGTTAATGATTCCTATTTTAAGTTGAACGCCCAGGGTTTGTATTGCTTATAGTATGCGTAAGATTCATTGAAGAATCACTAATGGGGATATTTCCGATAGAACTAGGCATCATTCTAGAAGATAGCTGCAAAGTTTAATAATTATTTTGGTTTTGAATTCTAGAGAGAGAAAGCTAATGATTGTGAGATGGTTTCTTAGATGACATAATTGTATTGTTCACTTGAAGCTAATTTGAAGGGTTCTTTTAATCTTAAATTGAAACACTGGTTTAATTTGGGAAACCATTGTTTCTTTAAGCACCGCTTTTGCTTTAGTTACTTCTTCTTGAATTACTTTAATTTTAGTTATGATCAGACTCTTCTGGCTCCATTTTTTATAGCTTAATCAATCCAGCTGAATTTTTCTTTCCCTAGAAAGATTAAGGTGATAATATCTAGACATTTTTAACACTGCTTAGAATTCCTTGTGTTTTTACTTTTGTCGTTTGTCTGCTGCTAATCTATAATGGATTGATTAGCTGCTGATTTTTCCCACCACTTTCAGATGAAGCATTTTCATTTATGACTTCTAGATTATTTTAATGTTCGTTTGCTTATCTCTACGCAAACTCCATTAGCTTCTTGACTCGTTCGAGTCTTTACAATTTATCATCAGATCTAGGTGGCAGTTAACCACTTAGGCTACTATGTTATTGCTAAAGTACATTTCTTTTCTTGGCCGAGTCAAGTTATAAAATTTGTGAGTTCGTGGTTGACTGTTCTAAGTTTTCCTTTGACTCCGGAATTACTGAATTAATCATTGTTTACTGATGTCTAGAAAGATATTAGTTAAAATAATTTGAGCTAGGCTTTATCAATCCTGAATGTATCTCTTTTGTTTATTAGCCAATTTTGCCTTAACTCTAGTTATGACCAACTGAGCTTTACTGATGAAGTAAATCTAATAGCTCTAAAGTTTTATCAGACACCTACTACTAATTTAAATTATTGATGCTAGTCATGTCCCCTGGCTTGTTTGATAAATGCTCAGTTGTTATGTTAACATTCATGCCAGAACGGATGCCACCCCCATTTAAAGGAGTGCTATTTTCATTATTAGGCTAGCTCTCTACTGAAAATACAGTCTTCATTGTGCGTAGCTAATCTAATTTACTTCCAATACTGTTCTATGTATTCTGCTGATAGTATCCTTGATTTTACAATACTACTGGAGTTTAAAAGAACTACTTAGCAGTTTTTTTGTCTTGTGGAGTGTGAACCTAAGACTTGTAAGGTGTGATACCGCCCATAGCATTACTATGATTGAAATTGGTTCTGCTAATTTTCCCCTTATTTATATTTTGGTTGCTAATATTAAAGTTTGACATTTATTCTATTTAGCTGGCTTTGATAGGAAGAATGTTTGCAGACAATAGGCTACCGTGATTTGCAGAATATGGATTTTTAATTAACTGAACAGGACCTGATTAAATCTTGTTTTGTGCGAAACTCTAACGCTTCAGTTTAGCAAGGGGATCTTGCCTCTGTCTCACTATGTTTGTTTGGTAACTTTTTTCACTTATCTTTCCTGAGAATTTCATGTCACTTAGTTTTGGAGGAGATTCATCCTCTAGGAATGAATTGCTTGATTATGAGGCAGTGACTATAAGTTAATTGATTTCTGGAGAATGCTTTTGTGAGGAAGAGTTTGCTTCTTAGGCTTAGTTTATCTTGTTGTCTTTTCTGTGTGATTCACCTCCAGAGTGAGATAAATGTTGAACATTTTTGCGAATTAAAAATCTCCCTGATTTCAACTAATCGGAATTATCTTGCTACTGATGATTGAAAGACTTGCTACTTATCTTCTCCTTACTCAAGGCTAGCATCTAATCCATCTTTCCTGAATATACATTTTACCTTTACTAACTTTAATCATAGTAGCTATTCATTGTTTTCCCATCTCCTTTGTTTCTTATTAAACCCTACTGCTTGGCTCTGTAAATTAGCTTTTATCTTTGCTATTGATCCATTGGTGCTCTATGCCCTTTATTTCTGTTGAATAATTTATTGATAAGAATGTTGACTTTGCTAATGGGTTTCAGTATCATTATCTCCTTTTAAGCCAACTCCTTCTATTGTTTCTAAATCTCATCCATCGTCTCTATCTCATTATGCAATTTACTTATCTTATCTTCAAGCACTTGCAGATTTTGTATCTCTTGTTAAAGTTCCTGCTATACTTAGGGGTTTGAATTAGCTGTTACGTTTTAATTAAGCAGAGGAGACGACTCGAAGATACTCTGAAGTCTTTCATTGTATTTTAGAAGCTTTTACCTGGCTCTATGCTGCTTCCTTGACAATTCGATTACATCAAATTAATTCTCACTGCTGCTTAAATTGTTCAACAGCTTTGGTAAATCATCATAGGAAAAGGTCTGCACATCTAGGTCTGTGTAGTTCTTCATAAATATATTGTCCTTTAAATGCTATTTAGCACTTTATGCTATGTAATTCGCCGAAGTGTTTCTAAACACTGTTCTCATCTATGTTGCAGCCTTGATCTCCTAGTAATGAGCTATGAATGATTTTCACTACTTTCCCTACTGTTTAGAGAGGTGTTCCATTTTCTTTTCTATACTCTGTATGTGTTCTCTTATCATCTGCTTGTTTTTTTAGATGACCTCATGCTCATTATAATTTCATAGATCTCTATCTTATTCACTTTCAATAAATGAAAGTTATTCGATTTACGCTAATTGTTCTTGATCATTCAGTCGCTTTATTCCAATATTGTAGAGTAAAATTGAACTGGGAAATCCCTGCTGTGTTTGTATATAAGGCTCTGTTGTCTCTAATATTTCTTAGGAGGTATCTTAAGATAATGCTTTCATATGTTGATTCAATTTTACTCCATAGGCTACATTCTTCGATTTGTTATAGATGGGAGGAAGGCCTAATTTTTATGATTATTGCGATTATTAAACTGTAGAATTTTTCATTAATCTAATAATGATAATTATTATTTACTTAAATAGGTTATAAAACATCACGAAGGATTTCAATACACATCTTCGATCATTCCTAATAAAATTGTTTAAAATTGATTCAATTTACATTTCACTTTGCCATAAGTAAATCTCAATTTCATGGGGTTTTGGGGTTTTGGGGAGATCGGAAGAGCACACGT